ACCTCCCGGGTTCACGCCATTCTCCTGCCTCAGCCTCCCAAGTAGCTGGGACTACAGGCGCCCGCCGCCATGCCCGGCTAATTTTTTTATATTTTTTAGTAGAGACAGGGTTTCACCGTGTTAGTTAGGATGGTCTGGATCTCCTGACCTCGTGATCCGCCTGCCTCGGCCTCACAAAGTGCTGGGATTACAGGCGTGATGTGCCTGGTTTTTTTAAAGTGGACTCTCATGAGACAATATTGTTAGGTGAACTTCTCTTTCTCTCCACCAGAATGCAGTCTTCATCACTCAGGCCTAAAATGATATGGTAAAGTGGAAGCCAAGTTTTCTTCCTCCCATCACCTGCACCCCAGCATCTGTTGAAATTGGCCCTGAACCAAGAATGGTGAACAGTTCTTCCTCCCCATAACTCTCACCTGGCTGATCCTACCGCCACCCTCTGCCTCATCCCTAAGAGGCCTGGAACTAGAGCAGAGGGCAGCAGGAAGGGCTGAGCAGTGACTGACTCCCCCGCCCCCACCCCGATACATCCTGCTCATTAGACTTCTTAGCGCTCATGATGCGTCTTACAAGTTCCTTGAATTAAAGCCTAGCAACATGAATGGTTCCTGATAATTCTGCCTTTTGATCACAGCCCCACGGTGTGTGAAGCAGTACACTTTAAACTCTCAAATAATAAAAAGGAAGTGCAGCCATAAAGTAAAGGGTGGAAAAATCTACAAAACCTTATCAGTGTCCCATAAAGGCTCAGCAGCCTCCTATCCTAGGCCTGCCTGGGATGATTCTCCCTTTGTATTAACTCAGAGTCACCTGATTGGTCACCTCATCATGGAAATTGTACAGGTTCCACTGCACTCAAGTAAAGGAGATCATACAAGGCATGTACACCAGGGGGCACACCATGGGTGCCATCCTAGAATCCTGCCCATCACAGTGGAGGGGACTCCAAGTCTTCACACAGGAAACACTTCTGACTGGGGCAATCAGGGAAGGCTTCCTGATAGAAGGGGCACTGACTTGGACTTTGAGGGATGAGTAGGATTCTGAAAAATTGGAGGAGAGATCAGTTCAAGCAGAAGAAATGTCATGAGCAGGCCGGGCACGGCAGCTCATGCCTGTAATCCCAGCACTTTGGGAGGCCAAGGTGGGTGGATCATCTGAGGTCAGAGGTCGAGACTATCCTGGCTAACACGGTGAAACCCCCTCTCTACTAAAATACAAAAAATTAGCCGGGTGTGGTGGCGGGCACCTGTAATCCCAGCTACTTGGGAGACTGAGGCAGGAGAATGGCATGAACCTGGGAGGCAGAACTTGCAGTGAGCTGAGATCACACCACTGCACTCCATCCTGGGCAACATTGCAAAACTCCAAAAAAAAAAAAGTAGTAGTCCCTGGGGAGCAGCATTTCTCTGCCTTTTTGATGAGCTCAGTACAGGCCACCAGGTCATTCTCAAAGTCAATGAACGTCTGCTGAAATATATGCAAACATATAACCCATGATCTATAGGAAACAGCCAAAAGTCAACTGCTTTTGACCATCTCCAAACATTTGAAGGCAGGGTCAGGTTTCGTACTTCTCTTTCAACTATGAGCGTGGTACTTTGCTTAAATTAGGAAGGTGCCTCGTGTATACTGACAACTGTCCAAGTGGTGGCTCCTTTACTCATATAACATTTTAATGTATTGTCAGACTCCAACATAACTATGTAATTAATTTTTATTTTTTTGAGTCAGAGTCTTGCTCTTGTCACCCAGACTGGAGTGCAATGGCATGATCTCGGCTCACTGCAACCTCCACCTCCCGGGTTCAAGTGATTCTTCTTCCTCAGCCTCCTGAGCAGCTGGGATTACAGGCGCTCGCCACTATGCCAGGCTGATTTTTGTATTTTTAGTACAGGCAGGGCCATGTTGGCCAGGCTGGTCTTGAACTCCTGACCTCAGGTGATCCACCCGCCTCAGCCTCCCAAAGTGCTGGGATTATAGGCATGAACCACCGTGCCCGGCCTGTAATTAACATTTTTTTAATGAAATCAAAATATCAGTAGGTCAGGATTGGCCAAGAAGCTTCTTATTGTTAAAAGTTGCATCTAGGGCCAGGCGTGGTGGCTCAAGCCTGTAATCCCAGCACTTTGGGAGGCCGAGATGGGTGGATCACGAGGTCAGGAGATCGAGACCATCCTGGCTAAGACAGTGAAACCCCGTCTCTACTAAAAAATACAAAAAACTAGCCGGGCAAGGTGGCGGGCGCCTGCAGTCCCAGCTACTAGGGAGGCTGAGGCATGAGAATGGCATAAACCCAGGAGGCAGAGCTTGCAGTGAGCTGAGATCCAGCCACTGTACTCCAGCCCGGGCGACAGAGCGAGACTCTGTCTCCAAAAAAAAAAAAAAAAAAGTTGCATCTAGGAGGCAAATTGGAAGTTCTTGAGAACCATGGGGCCCTGGACTATGGGACTGAAGTTTCAGTGAACAAGTTCAGACCTGGTACAGATACGACAACATGAAAACATCGAAGAGAATGACAGAAAACACTTTTCTTCCAGAAAACACTTCTTTCTCCCCAGAAGCCAGGGGCTGACTGGACACTTTAGCAGCTACTGTTTTTGCATGATGTCATTTTTTTCTCTTTCTTCAGTGGCTGACAAAGCCGGATACCTGATGGGACTCAATTCTGCAGAAATGCTGAAGGGCCTGTGCTGTCCAAGGGTGAAGGTTGGGAATGAATATGTCACTAAAGGGCAAAATGTCCAGCAGGTAATGGAGATGCTCTGATCCGGTTGATTGAGATCTTTTGTTATTTGAGCCATTGTTTTAAAGTTCTTTCAGTTGCAGGTATCAGAAAATGCACATGAAACCAGCTTTCACATTAAGAGAAAAATCATTTTTAGGCTTCAGAGGCAACCGAAGGAATGCAAATCATTGAGTGCCCATTGGACGCCATGAGGACCTGGAATTAGAAAGTGAAGAGCCCTCTGGAGCCAGGCAGCCTCCCTCCAGCTCCTCTGGGGTTCATGGGCTGTTGACTGTCTCCTCTGTTGTGTCCTTGCTAAGCAGATAAGTTTCCTGGACCTCTCTTGCCTGTGGCCACCCCATAGCTCCCAAGTTTATATCTCTGTGTTTCCAGCCTCACCCTGAGACTGAAACCAGTGTCTTTTGATCCCAATTCCAAATTCTTAGGAGAGATACTCAATTAATCCAACCTGGATCAAGTGTTCACCTCTGGTCTAATTAAGTGTGGCCAGGGGCTGGAGTCATGTGCTATAACCACGTTGTTGGAAAAATATCTTTGTAAATAGGATAGTTCTCAAAGAAAGGGGAACAGCGTGGGCTGGGCAAACACCTCACAAAATATTTAATATTATGTTGAATGATCTGAAATTGCCAATATTCAACTGCTTTTGATTTTCTTTTTTTCTTTTCTCTCTCTTTTTTTTTTTTTTTTTTTT